CAGCACTGCAGGAGTGCAGGGGTTGTTGCAGTTTGTCCCTGAGTGGTKATTCCATATTCCATGGATGGGTTCCCTGTCCCTGTTTGTGTTCTCTTCTCACAGCTCTGTGTCTGACATGCTGGTGTCTGCTTTTGTTTTGTAGTTCTTTCACGAGGGGCACTCCATGTCCAGCAGCATCTTTGCTTCCATGGTAAAACCCTGTCTGTGCTCTGCAGCTGCTCCTCACCAGTGTGTGTTTGTGTGCAGGGGTCTTGGGCTTGGTCCTGGACACCTCCTCTGTCTTCTCCTGCTCAAACTTTGTTTTCAAACCCTTCCTTTCTCTTGTTTGTCTCCATTGGGAACCAATTGTCATTAGYAGTCTGTTAATAGAAGTTGAGTCTTGCTTTAGATCCCCTTAGTTSTTCTGCAGCTTAGGCAGCTGTAGCAGATGCAGTGCTATTGCAGGTTTAGCTGCTGGGTGGTGGATTATGTTACAGGTGTCCTCAGTATTTAACAGTAATGTGGTGTAGATAAATGCTGGCAGCCTCTGGACACTGAGGAACCCAGAACAGCTTCAAATGCTGAGACAGGGCTTGCATGGCTGTCTCCTCAAGCAGTCATCTTCTTCCAAGACACAGAACTGCAGCTCTTCTCAAGCTGTCACTGTTARGAAGGAAGATGATGGATTATCTCTTAAATATTTTAGCAACTGRTACCTCAACAATTCAAAGTCTGATCTCCAAATGCACCATGGAGAGATAGGAAGTTTCCAGCTGTACATACCCTTTGAACTGGTGATTATGGTTTGTGTTTCTCTGCATCTTTGGACTCACTGTCACTGGCACAMCTCCCAAATGCCCTAAAAACACAGAAATTCTGTCTGTGTGTAGTGGAAAGCATTGGAACACTGAAGGAACACTGCCTGTGCCCCATGAACACCACCAGCACTGCACATGGACTGTTTGCTGGGGATTTTTTTGCAGAACTTGGCTGTGTAGAGTCCATGATTCTGCACTTTCCAAACATGCAGTTTTTGGTCTTATTCTCCTTTTTCTCCAGTACATTGTTCAAGTGGCTTCCTGCTTGGAGATAAGGGGATTTAAGATGACACTTTCAATGAAGTCTTTTCTGGGCTGAAATTACAAATGTTAAAAAGAAAGGAGAAAACAGAAAAGCACAGTCTCTGGGAGTGCAAGGAATGGGCAGACTGTGTGTGGAAATCACAGTACCATGCAATTTGGTGGAATTGTCACAACTTTGAAGGTGATTTAGTGTCCAGGCCTGGTAGGGTAAAATAATACAGCAACAAAGGCAATAAAGGAAACAAGACCAATACTTGCAGAGAGGCAGGCATGATGATTTCATGGCTTCATTAAGTCAGTTTTTAATCTACTTACTTTAAGAGAGCTTTTGCATGAGGGCCTCTATTGCTGGCCTATGGACCCTTTGATACTCCAAAACCACCAAGCCCCATGTCCAGGTGAACTGGACCCACCTGCAGATCCCCCCYTTGCACAGCAGTGATGCTGCCTTGGAAGCAGAGTGTGCTGTTAAAATAGTCTGGGGTTGTGTTAAACCAAGCAGTGAGGTTCACTGGCTTAGGCCATTTTGGAGTGCTTGCCTATTTTGTTGAAAAATGATGGAAGTGCTTGAGAAATGATGGAAGTGCTTGAGAAATGATGGAAGTGCTTGAGAAATGATGGAAGTGCTTGAGAAATGATGGAAGTGCTTGAGAAATGCAGCTCCTTGTGAAGGGGTGAGATAGGGATGAAGGTTTAATCCTGCCCCATGATCCTGTACTTTCCCTGTTCTGAGGTAGCATTATAACAAATTATTGGCCATGAGTGGCATTTGGGGTGGTGGAAAGCAGCTAACTGAGGTTTTGATGTCATTCCAGAGGAGCAGCACTCCATCATCTCCCAGCAGCACTTGTCCCTCTGGCTCCAGTGGGGACATGAGCTGGGGGGACAGGAAGGGRCAGTGGCTGCGCAGACGGAGGCTGGATGGAGCCATCAACAGAGTTCCTGTGGGCTTTTATGAGAAAGTGTGGAAAATCCTTCAGAAGGTAAGCTGAGCTCTGTGAAGGAGCAATCAAGCTTAGAGTAACTCAGGGAGGGGTGGTCCAGGGGTGGAAGTTGCTGTTCAGCTGGAAGGCAGAGGGAATAATGGGAACCAGAGCCACTGGCACAAGAGTGTCTCTTCAATCTAAAAAAGCTCCATTAACACAAGATCACGGGTTCTATGAACTGTTTTTATCTCAAACCAYCAGCACTCTCTTTTTGCTGAGTGATTCTGTTTCACCACTCTGTTGTGCATCCCCAATGCCCCTTGTCASTGCAATGGAATGCAGTGCAGYTCTGTGTTCCAGGTCAGAAAAGCTSKSAGGAATGAAGTGGGACACTGCACTGACTCTTCCAGATTGTGCTGAGACATCTTGCCAGCTCTTCGGAGCTCTATGGCATYCTTAACCTTTTTTATTTGTTAGTTTGTTTGTTTTTAAGTGAAAAGGAAGTCCTTGTTGGCACCTTGGATATCAGGCATGTAGAAATGTGTTGAAGCAAAACTCCAGGAAAAAGGAGAGAGGAATTAAAAATTGCAACTTATTTGAAAGTCATTATGCAGTTGTTGTTCTGCTTTGCTGGATCCAGGCCAGCATTTGGCACCTTGCAGCCCTGGGCTGGCAATGATTTGTTGGGAAGAGAGTGCATCACCAGTTTAGGCAGGTTTGGGTTGTCCTGCTAAAATCACTTRGACTGAAGCTGTTAGTGTTGATGTCAGCCAGGATAAATCATAGATGACCTCTTGGCTATTYACTAATAGGATCTTTCAGCAGAGTGAGCATCATTTCTGACCTAATATAATAGCTGGGAGTAATTGTCTGTTTTTTCTGGCTGTTAAAATGAATTGTGCTTGTCTTCAGTATTTCATTCTTAAATTTTCTTTGGACTATTCATAAAATTTCTCTCCTCTTCTTGGTTATATTTCTGTTCTATATCTCAGGTACCCAGATGTGTCCCTGCCTTTTCACCATTTAGGTTTTGTCWCTGTTTTCTTTATACCACTTGGTATTTCTCTCTCCCAAGTGGYTGATCCTGAGGTGTGGTGTCCTGAATCTGAAACACATAACTAAATGTTGYTCTAGTGAAAATGAAAAAAATATTTTTGCTTTTGTGGTCTGTTGGATTGCTTTTGCATTATTTTTTATTTCCCAATTCTTTCCATCAGGATGCTCTCACAGTTTGTTTCTCTCCTTTGTGCCTTTGCAGTGGTGGCTCTCACAGTGCTGTGGTTTGGTGGTGGAATGGAGCACAGCATGCTCTGATGTGCCATGGCAGGCTATTGCTAATCTTACCAGTTACACAATAATTTCAGCAAAGATGAAATAATAATTTTGGACAGGGTTTTTTTTGTGTCATTTGGGGGGTTTTGCTTTGCTTTTTCTTTTTTTTCTAACTGAAAGTTGTTACATACTGGTTTACAACAGAGAACGCTCATATTGAATTGCAATACTCTAATTTCTGTTCACTGTTGAAATGTTTCAGTGCCATGGTCTGTCCATTGATGGGTATGTCCTTCCTTCTTCAACCAYCAGAGAGGTACAGTAAAATATCTGTGATTTTCTGGGCACATTTCTGAATGCTTGGCTTGATGTGGAAGATGCAGCAGTTTTGCTGTTGCAGATGTTTGATTTTACCTTTAGAACATCTGAACCATCCCTCAGCTGCTGTGCTCTGGCTCTGTGCAGCTGAATTGCTGCCAGGCAGCCTGGAAGGAGCTTTGTGCCAGCTTTTGCTTTGCTGAGCCTTCCCTGTCCCCCTGTGCCCAGAGAGGGGCTGGCAGCAGCCTTTTGTGGGGAAGGTGAGGCAGCACCACTGGTTGGAATAAAACACACACATTGCTTGTCACTTCAATTATTTTAACATGCTGCAACAGTAGCCAGTGTACTTTGGCTTCACAGTCTCAAATACCAGTTAAGGATGATTGTTCCTAACCAAAGCTTTGACACTTTGAATCCCTAACATTTTCTTGCACGTTTTTTTCTTAGCTGGATTCTGTGCTTAGGTGCTCTGGCAAATTTTAAATTCACATCTATAAAACAAACTCAAGTGAACAGTAATCCAGCAGAGAGGTGCTTGTGTGCCCAAGACTTTTCCTGATGGTTTTCTTCATACTTGTCTCTGGCTTCATTCTTCTCTGAGGGGCCATGGTAGCAGTTGAAGAGAGGAGCTGGCATTTTCTGCCCAATTTAAAATGGGGTTTGTGGGTTTTTTTAGAAAGAAGAGCTTTATTTATCCCTATTGTGTAGATAAAGAGACTTCTACTTTTAGCCCATCAGACCTGGACAGTATCTAATTTTGCTGTTTAAAGCAATTGGATGAAATAAGCACAAACCTCCTAAGGCAGCACAAGATCCACAGAGCTGTGCCAGTGCAAATTAAGCTGCTTTAGAAACASAATAGTGATATCCCTGCATGGAAAAGTTGAGGGATTATTTAAAAATCACCCCTCAAAGCAGGGGGTTGTTTTTAAAACTCAACAGTAAGTTTGGCTTTGCAACTAATCTGCAATGCCAGAAGGATGCAAGGCAGTGTGTGAGGAGTAAAGAGTTAATGTACAGCATCAGCAGCTCAGTGTGTAAGTGAGATGTGTGTGATGGAAGTTATGTAACTGTTTGCAGAATCAGGGTCTAGCAACAC